TGATCTCGCTGACCAAGGCTGCATATCTAACAGAGTTTGTGGGAGGTCAGGCCCTTACCTCTTGCCTGCTGGTCAGTCAGAGTGATACCTAGCAGAATAACAAACCCATTCTAGAGACAATTGATCTGTTTGGTACTGTGAAACAAAGGGTAGTATCTCCTTGCAGAAGCTGAGAAAGCACAGACTTTAAAGCTGAGTTACCTCTAGAAGCAAAGTCTGTCTGAGTGGAAGCTTAAAATTCATTTTAAGTGGGAAGAGAAGTCTGCAAGTATTAAATGTTAGCTGCCATGAACTTGTTGAAACTTCTTGAGTTGGTTGAGCTGACAGACGTGTTTATCTACTACAGTGACCTCTTCAGCATTGTAGTGGTGCTGCCTGGGCTTCTTTCAGCAACCAGTACTTCACGTGCGTGTTGTGTCTCGATTTCTCTCCAGATGCCATGAAGTACACTATTGTGGTGTCTGCCACAGCGTCCGATGCAGCGCCCCTTCAGTACCTGGCTCCCTATTCAGGCTGCTCCATGGGGGAATACTTCAGAGACAACGGAAAACATGCGTTAATCATCTACGATGACTTGTCCAAACAGGTCAGGAAATGTTGTTTATAGGCCTTGCGGTCTAGTATTGGTGTTTATAGCTGTTGCACCACCTTGAGTTTAGAAATTCAGAATTTTCAATGAGCTGCTGAAGTCTGAGAGCTGCTTTCTACCATACAGGCAGTTGCCTATCGTCAGATGTCTCTGCTGCTGCGTCGTCCACCCGGTCGCGAAGCCTACCCGGGTGATGTGTTCTACCTGCACTCTCGCCTGCTGGAGAGAGCAGCCAAAATGAACGATTCCTTTGGAGGTGGCTCCCTGACTGCCTTGCCTGTCATTGAAACTCAGGCTGGTGATGTGTCTGCTTACATTCCAACCAATGTCATCTCCATCACTGACGGACAGGTGGGACATCTTCACATGCCAGTACTTCTGCGTATAACTTACTGGCGGGTCTCTGAGGAGGCTCCTGGCCTTCTGACCAGTATAATAAAGCAATTTTCTCCTACAGATCTTCTTGGAAACTGAATTGTTCTACAAAGGTATCCGTCCAGCCATCAACGTCGGTCTGTCTGTGTCCCGTGTAGGCTCTGCTGCTCAGACCAGGGCCATGAAGCAGGTAAGCATGAACGGAAAATAGTATCTGCATAAAGATTTAGGACTGTTAGGTTTCAAGCCGTTAGAGCTGGGTACTGATCTAAGAGAAAATGCTCTCTTAACCCCACGCTTCTTTTATTCAGATGTGGAATTGGAGAGCTGTAATGCTGTTCCGTTTTAAGGAGAAATAGCATGCTTGTATTAGAAGACCAAGCAAGGCAGTGGGATTTTTAGAAATTAATATAATAATCTGTCAGAATATTGAGATTCACCTGACTGGTCCACGAGGCAAAGCTGACTTGTGACAACTGTGAGCTGAAGATAACCTGCAGCCTACTAGACTTGATTAAAAAACTGGTCAGACTCCACCTGACCCATATCCTGTGCTGCAGGTGGCAGGTACCATGAAGCTGGAATTGGCTCAGTACCGTGAAGTGGCTGCCTTTGCTCAGTTCGGGTCTGATCTGGATGCTGCCACGCAGCAGCTCCTGAACCGCGGCGTGCGCCTGACAGAGCTCCTCAAGCAAGGACAGTACGGTGAGTGTCTTGGCTGTGACAGGTCCGGGCTGCCCAGTAATTTCCTGTGCCACTGAGCTTGGTGCGTGTGGCAACGTTTGCCACGTGTGTTCCGTGGCTTAATGGGATTGCGTTGGAGTTGGTCTCCAAAGAAGCGTGTCCTGATCTAAGAGTTAACAGTGCACGAATGCTTTCTTTTCCGCAGTTCCCATGGCTATCGAGGAGCAGGTTGCAGTCATCTATGCTGGTGTCAGAGGTCACCTGGACAAGCTAGAGCCCAGCAAAATCACTAAATTTGAGAGTGCTTTCCTAGCTCACGTACTGAGCCAGCACCAGGCGCTCCTCTCTACCATCAGGTACGACCGTTTATTTTACCTCATCCCAGGGGTTTTGACTTGATGGCTGGAGCGCAGGTGATGGACTCTGAACTGTTATTTCGGTGCACCCTGGAGCAGCAGGCTCTAACCTGCCTGTATCTGAACTAGAAATACATAGGGCTTCCTGCTGCCCAGAGCCCAGCTTCCTGACTCCAGCTTTTACTTAAATCCAGTTGATGCTTAAAACGAACCTACTTGTGTGTCTTTTATTTAATCTACTGTTGAAATCGCTCAATCTAGTCTACTCACCTATTTTTTTGACAGCGTTAAGCTGTTACAGTGGTGTGAGTGAAGTGCTGCTCGCTCCCTTCCCGGCTGCTGAGTGGGCTGTTGGGGACTGAGTATTTCCACTAAATTTCTTCTGAACTGGCGCTGGCTTGTTCTGCCTTGAGTCCCATCACGTCTGTAGGAAGTAGGGCCTTGCTAAACTGTGCAACAGCTGTTTCTAAAGCATTTGCTGACAAACCTGAATTGTCGAACTGGACGTTTTTAGGAGAAGGGATGCTATGTTAACGTCCATTGGTTGTAGCTTCATACATCGAATGTGTTAACTCATCTGCTGATCTTGTTAGGAACTGGGAGGTTGGAAAGTTGATTTCTTTGCCTTAGAGATTGACCATGTATCTCTTCCTATGTCACAAGTTTAACTGAACTCTTTCAACAGGACGGAAGGGAAGATCTCTGACCAGACAGAAGCTAAGTTGAAGGAAATAGTCACAAATTTCCTGTCTACTTTCGAGGCATAAACTCTTCAAACTGTTCAAACAGACCAGGCTGTTGTTGTGATCCCGTGCTCCAGCTGCATCAAAGACTTAAAGTATGTGCGACTTGAATGTACAGATCTCAGTGAGAATAAAAATTTCCATGTAAAAAGGCTTGGTGTATTCTCTTCTAAGTCACTGACCTGGATGGCTGCTGCAGCCGCAAACGTGCCTTTAAAACCACAAGAGTTAAGCCCCTTGAGCTTCTGGCTGAAGGAATGCTGAAAAGTTAGGGGGCACCTTCAAGAGTTGGGTGGATCAGACTGCACTTTGCAAGGAAGAGTAAGGGTAGAGGCTGGATCCTGTGGCTGAGAGGGCAGTTTGTGTTGTGGTGGGGCTGAGGGTTGCTCCTGGAGTTTTTATTGTCACCGGACAGCTGGTCTTGAGGGCAAGCAGCTTGGGAAGCAGCTTACGCCATCCCACCATGGCTGGTTACGGCACCTCACGGTATTTGTAACAATCTGGTGCCGTGACAGAGCATCGCTTGGAGCTGCTGTCGGACCTGTCCAGGTGCCAGAACGTGGCTTCTTCAGACACCAGGGTCCAGACACCACGGTCCGTGTCGCCTGACGCGAGGCAGCAGCGCCTGTAGCTGTTCCTGTAGTAACTCCCGGTACCTGAAGGGGGCTCCAGGGAAGCTGCAGAGCGACTTTTCATAAGGGCGTGTGGTGACAGGGTAAAGGGCAGTGGATTTAAACTGAAAATAGATTTAGATTGGACATAAGGAAGAAATTATTCACTGCGAGGGTGGCGGAACCCTGGCCCAGGTTGCCCAGAGCAGCTGTGGCAGCCCCATCCCTGGCAGTGTCCAAGGCCAGGCTGGACGGGGCTTGGAACAACCTGAGGTGGTGGGAGGTGTCCCTGCCTGCAGCAGGGGGGTTAAAATGAGGTGATCTTTAGGGTCCCTTCCAACCCAAACTGTTCTATGATAACTACTAGAGATTTAGATGCCACCATGCTCTGTAGGTGGTGACTAGTAATCTGCAGTCATTAATGGTGATTCTGTGATTGCAAGGTGGCTTTTACAGCTCACTGTCCCCTCCTTGCACAGGGACTAAACCCCAGCTAGATGTTGGTGTCGCTGTGCCATGTCTTACATGCTGCTGCAGTTAGAAAGCGCTGAGCTCAGGCTTGTCTTACTCCACAACTGCACGGGAACATTAGTTTCTGGTAACACAAATGTTCTAAGGTTCTGATCTCTGCCCTGAGCTGCTGTGCCTTTACCTGTGCTCCTCTGCCCTGCTCCCTTTGGGTCTCAGCCCTGCTCAGCCTTATCCGCCTGTCCTCGGGAAAGTGTGCGCTTCGTGGGAGCGACAGATCAGATGGAGAAAACCTGGAAATTCATCCCAGGATTCTTTTTGTGTGTGCTTGCAGCTGAGCAGGCTGTAACTCAGCCAGCAGATGTTGGGATGAGGTTACAGAAACCTCTTTAAAGTTTTGATCGGCACCTTCCAGGTGTGAAGCACGGCTCTGATGCTGCCTCTGCTGATGGGATTTCACAAACACTGAAAGCAAAGTTCGTGCAAACTTGCTTTTGTTGGTACAAACCGAAGAGCATTTTCCAAGAGACAGTGACCTTGGGTCACAACTGGGCGGATTTATTCAGTAAGTGGAAAATACCTTTTTTTTTTTTTAATGTTACTGTTGTAGCTATCCCTGCGTTAAAGCAGAGGCAGTGAGTTAGGGCAGCGGGTATGATCCGGGTTTCCCAGCACGGGGTGTTCTCTCTCATCTGCTTCCATCTTTTCGAAGAACTCAAGAGGTTGCTCACCAGTGCCTCATCTCAGGTAGTCAGTGAAGAATGTGAAACCTCCCCAAAGCAGAGCCACGGGATAGAATTGCTTAGATTGGAAAAGACTTCTAAGACCATCGTGTCCAAACATTATGCTCTCAGAAACCCTGGCCCAGCCAGCTATGACCCTCACCCTCCGCTCCGTGTTTTCTTCACGAAACCCTGTGGGCCTACAGGCATTTGGGTTTCTCCTGGGGTGCACCTGTGCCTCCCACCCTCGCTGATCCCATCCATCAGCCACAGCGCTCCCCGCAACCTGCGGCTGCCCAGGAGCTTCACACGAAGCTCTACGTAACCAGTGGGGTGGATATGACCATGTGCGGGATGGGGAAGGAACATTGCACCACGGGGTGAACGGGGTGGGGTGGGACGGGGCGGGACCGTGAGCGGCAGAGCTCAGCAGTGGTGGCAGCAGCAGCAGGATGCGAGAGGCACGGTTCAGGGACCACTTCTGGGTGAGTGGGGACACGGTGAACCAGGGAGGGGGAAACGGGGACGGGAGGCAACAGGAGCTGGGGTGGGTCACCGTTGGGTCAGCGGTGGGAGTGGGGGTCACCTCTCTCTGGTCAGTTCATTCCAAAGCCTCCTTCATGGTCCTCTGCTGAAGGTTGGGAGCATCCCCACACATGTCCTGAGAACTGGGGCTTTGCAACCGGCCCCCCCCGGCCCCCAAATATGCCCCGGGGAGCTGCCACTGCCGTGCTGGAGGAAGTTGGTGCCGGGCTGAGGGCTCGGTAAAATTAATCGGTGAACCACTTGGAGACACCGCTGCCAAAAAAGGGTCCTTTGGTGCGGAGCTAATCCTGGACTAGCAGTGAGTCCCTTGACGTGCTGTTGCTGACCTGCAGAGGAGAACCAGCAGCTCAGGGAAAACCACAATTTATTCTTTCAAGCCTGAAGTGTTCTTTTGGGAATGGAGAAGTGCTGAATAGCCGCTTATCTGCTGCCGAGCATCAGCGCTGTGGCTGCTCAGTTCCCCTTGGCGTGGGAGCCTTCGTTCCAGGTACCGGCAACCAGGAAATAAACGGCAAAATTTTGCCTTTTGTGGCTGAAAATCCGTATCTGTGAATAGTGCTCAGGGTGCGGGTCCCGGGAAGGGCTGGCGCCGTGTTTGGGGCTCCTGTGTGCTGTAGACTAAGGTGTGAGCGCAGAGCAATAGGCTCTCCCGGCATCATTTGCATGTTATCTGGTGCAGCGCCATGAAATAATAATTGTGATCGGTTTTCATGGAACAGGTGTGATCAGCTCACGCCTGTCCAGTCCCATTTAGAGCAAACACATCTGTTTACTGAATAATCTTGCAAAGCCCAAAACTATTGGCATTGCCAGCGTTTTGGGTTTTTCCTTTCCTCTGTGCTTCAACTCCCTCCTGACCAACGCTGCTAAGGCAGGGGTTATGGACGTGACTCAGTGATGAGATTAAGGGCCTGCCGTGATCGTTTGGCCTCTGGAAAAGGCAGGTACCACCACAAGCCTTCTCCATGCCACGTACCGGTGACTGTGCATCAGCTGCAAGGGCTGAGGAGGGAGTGTGGGAATGAGAGACGGGAAGAAAAAACTGAAATTTAGACAAGGCACAGAGGGCTGCTCATCCAGCTCCAGTTTCCTCTTAAGTGCCGTGAGAGAGCATAAACTTCCTCTTGCAGTTTTCCCTCTATAAATTACTTCGCTGAAGCCAACGCTTCTTTGCTCAAGCAAGTGATTTCAGGGCAGCCTGGTGGGAAGGAGGAAATTTTGAGAGGGCTCCAGGGGAGGCATGATCCAACTGATGGGACAAAGTCTAAAAACACCACAAACTTTGCAAAAGCTGAGCTGTTTTTGGTATTTCATCTTCCAGCTTTGAAACAGAGCTGGTTGTAAATGGGGGCCACCAAATTTCTTTGCGGGGATAAGCTGAAGACCCTAATGCTGTGCCAAGGCAGCAAGGCTGTGCCTCAAGCCTCATCTGGGGACTGATTTAGCTTTAAACCTCGGCAGCTCGGATTTCTTCATTGCGGTGTGTGTGTCTGCATTTTCCTGCACTGCAGCTTGGTCCTTGGTTCCAAAATTCACAGTGTGATGCTCCTGATGTGCCGTGTAGGAAAACTTTGCCCTCTGCATTTGAGTTTTCTTGTTCTCTTCAGTCCCAGCACAACCTGTGCTGCCTGAAAAAGAGCTGTACAAAAATAAAACTACGCCAGAGATCACGTTTGTTTCCTCTTGCCCTGCCTGTAGTGATTGCTACGAGTTGAGCAAGCGTGGGGGTTTGTTTTCATTTGGTTTTGCAACCTGCTGCTCTTTTCGCTCCACAAGGTCTCTGGAATAATTTTCTTGGTGAATGCTTTGGCTCTCCCCATGCTTGTTCATGCAGAATGTTTTTGGGTAACCTGACAGCAAAGCTTTGGGTCTCATCAGAGCACTTTGGTCCTGTAAAACTAGGTGGGGAAAACCAGAACCGATTGTAATGATTAAAAAACACTTTAAGTCTGATTTACTGGCTACTTACATCTTGCAACTCCGAGAGTGGTTTTTCAGTTGTTTAGTGAGACAAAACCAATGCTCTGCTCCCTGCAGCATGCTGCAGGGTGCATTAAAAAGAAACATCTGGTAAAACACTAAAAAAATAAGCAAGTTATAATGAAGACTAAGACCTGCTGACTCACACTGAGGTTGGATCTGGTCAAGAAATTTTTGAAAATCAGACTTACATATCTAAATATTTTAGGCGCTCTCAAATATTTGTTTGTCTCGCCAGGTGAAGGCAGTGCTGTTAAAATGATCCACAGCTCAGGCAAGTCCCCTGCAGTAAGAGTTGCATTGATGTATTTAATTTTCCAACAAAGCACATGGCAAAAAGTATCTGAAAATAGTTATTTACCCCTCAGAATACAGGAAATACCTTTTGCATCTCTTTTTGCAATGGCACAAATGAAACACAGGGGGTAAGAAATGCTTTGCCCTTTGCCGCAGAGCAAAGGGGTGAAGGAATCAGCGATTCCTTCCTGCTGGCCCCTCTACCACAGGTTGCGGACAGTATTTTGTCACTGCTGTGACCGGTTGTGTTTCTTCTTCAGTGCTGAATTTTTTTTTATCCCTGTGAGGCACTTGGGGATAAATTTTTTTAGCCTTGTGAGGCTGCTGGGGGAGCCGCCAGCCCTGGGCTCCTGGGTTCATTCCCTGGCTGCTGACTCACTAGCTGGGCTGTTTCACTTCCCCTTGCCCTTCTGCAAATGGGGACTTAGCAGAGTTTATCAGCAGCGTTATAAAATCCTTCAGTTGTCATTTGAAAGGATTGAGGTGGGGTTTGTGGGTAGAAGTAATTGCATCCAGGTGGGGCGATCCATTGCTTTCTGTGTCTCTGGGGTGGGCAGGATGCATGTGTAGGGGAGGAAACGTCAAATGGAAGATTATCAACCAAAAATCTGCTTTTTGTAGTGGGGCCGTTCTCAGGTGGGTGAATTTGCAGTGAGTCCTCTTCCTCCCAGCGATGAGTTTTGTCAGTCCTGTCCTACCCACCTGGTTATGGGATGGGGAAGAACCGCAGCCTCTTGCAGCATCTTCTGCTCTCCTCACCGTGCTCCCTGCAGGCACCAGCATTGTTTTCGTCCTCAGTAACCTCTGCAGAACCCTGGGTGATTCTGAGGCCATGCTGACTGTGAGCAAGAGTAATGTTTATTTGCCTCACGTTGTGCCAAGGGAGGTTTAGATGGGATATCAGGAAAAACTTCTTCACAAAAAAATTGTCAAGCATTGCAACAGGCTGCCCAAGGAAGCAGTGGAGTCACCATCCCTGGAGGCATTTAAAAGCTGTGTAGATGCGGTGCTCAGGGACATGGTTTAGTGGTGGATCTGGCAGTGCTGGGTTAATGGATGGACTCAATGATCTTAAAGGCCCTTTCCAACCTAAATGATTCTATGATCCTCTGATTCTCTCCTGGCTTTGCAGAGTGTGTGTCTGGAGGCGGATTTTCACGTAAAGTAGAATAGAAAACAGAAATCTCAAGGTCAGCAGCTTGCCTTTCAGCTGTGATTCCTACGCTGACTAGAGCTTTCTAGCCCCTCTTTTGGCTAAAAGCATGAACAAACCCCCAAACATCACACATTCCTTCCCCTCAGTGAGTCCGTCAGATAGGGAAGGGAGGGCACATCCTGCTGAGCCCCACGGGCTCGGGAAACATCAGCTGCTGCTTTGTCACCTTGAAATCATCTGTTCGTAGTTTCCATGGGCTGTCCTCTAACCGCGCGTGGGCTCAGAGCTCTGCCCAGCAGGGAGGACTAGGGCTGTCGCGTGCTGCAGGGTGGGAGGAGAGATGGTTGGGGAGGGCTTGCTGCAACTCCCCATCCTCCACACCTGTCTTTGGCTTAGTTTATTATGTCTTTAAATCTTGTCCTCTGCCCCCATGGCTCTGTGCTCACTGTGTTGCCCTTCCTCTTTCATTGCTACCTGCCAGCCCTGCCTTTGGGACTTCCCACAGGCAGTCACGCTGGTTCTCTTCATTCTTTCTGTGCCCACGTCTGCCTAGAAGGGTGCAGCGAAGGCTGGTTTCACAGCATGGAACCCTGCCCATCCCCTTTTGGACTAGGAGCTCCTTCTGCCTGGAAGCAGCTCTTCTGGAAACCTGCACCATCTCTGTTACCTGTTATGTCCCCTATAACACTCTGAGGTCTGGTCTGGCCTTGGGTGTGTAGGAAATACGAACATGCTGGCATTAAATCCTTCTAGTTCAGGAGGACGAGTGATAAAGAGCTTAGTGCACATTTTTGATGGGTGCTCCGAATTTTCCCCTGGCACCAAGGGACCCCAACCACCCCAGGCAGCAGAGACTGACAGTTTTTCTCTGCATCCATTTTATTTCCTTTGAAACCAGGGACAGGAAGTCAAGTTAGGATGTCCCTGTGTTTTGCAACTATCACAAAGACTGACTTCAGTGCAAGCATGTTCCGTTTTTCACAGACCCGATTAGCAAACTGAGAACTGGGTGGGTTTATCAGTAACAAGCCCATTTTGGAGGAGTGTTTGTGCTTTGTAAAGAAACAGAAGCTGGTTTGGTTTCTGCTGAGGTCCTGCTCCATGGTTCTCTCTTCCCAGGCATACCATGGGCGGAGCAAAGCTGATCTGGGATACCCAGGGATTTCCTGCAGGTCCCACTCCACCAGACTTGCACCTCATCACTTCTTGCTTTCTGGCCACTGATGTTCAAGTCCTTGCCTCCTTAGGGAAGTTCACATAACTAAATCCTTCACTTATCACAAATACCAGCTCTGTTCCTCCTCATTTCTTGAACAAGATACGAATTTCTGAGAAATCCCCACTTCTGCTGCCCCACACTTTCAGCCTAGTTCCCTGAGTACTCTCATCCTGGCTTTAAACCATTTTCTGAATCTCTCCCTCCTGCCATTATTTCTCTTCAAGTTTGATAACCGCTTGTGGCTTTTGCTTCCTTTCCCCAAGTTTCATATCTGCTCCCACCATTGCTTCCTTTCTGCAGCCTCTTCCCCTACACTTTTATCACAGAATCATTAAGGTTAGAAAAGACCTCTAAGATAATTTTTGTTCCCGTATGTGCTTTTCTGTGCAACGACAACTGGTCCTCCTTGCAGAAAATGACAGGTATCACCTTCTGCTCAGTTCCCTACATCTGCTTTGGGCTTATTCCAAAGAATAGCTCCAGGTCATATTTGTATTGCCATAGCACTTAGGTGCCCTGCTCTTGGCCCAGGTCTCCCGAGGTAGATCCTCCACAGTCATAGGGAAAAAAATCCATTTTTTTTTTGTCCCACAATGCTTCCAGGCATTGGTATGAGGAAAGAATGGGTTAGTCAACCTTTGTCCTAGCCCACCTATATCACTGCTGCTTGCATCTTTCCTGTTTGAATTTATTTTTAAATAAGCATCAGTACAAGATATGTTTTTAAGAAGTAATTCAAAGGAGAGCACTGATCTTTCAGAAGTCTATGAGAAGGATGCATCCATACCTTACTATGAGGGTGGCCAGAGAAGCCCATAGCTCAGTGATCCTGTGCAGAAAGATCTGACAACTTCACCTCCAGCCCAGATGTACGCTTCTACAGCCAGACGCGAGGGTGATGGCCAGAACAGTGCAAGTCAACACTAACCAAGATCCACCTCCATATCTGCAGAAGCTGGCAGGAGCTATATCTAGAGACTTATATCTATAGCCCATCTCTAGATGGACTATATCTAGAGACTTGGAGGGGTTTTAGTGTTTGATTTCATTAAATTAAGCTCCTAGAAGGAAATGCCAGGTACCGTGGGGCCAGCTGTACTTAGCCTCTTCTGTTTTCTGAAAGCCATGGAAGTGCTTTGTCCCACCACGGTTCCCATTCTGGAGCCTCTCCCATGGCTACAAGAAAAACATTTCATGAAGAAGCACTTGAACACTTGCTCCCAGCTGAGCTGTTGCTTGTGCAAATGCTGCTGGAGGTGGCAGTGGCGGTGGGCTGCTCTGACGAGGATGTGACTCCTGTCATTATGTTTTCAGAGTACGGATCTGACAAGCACGGCTGGCTATGACAGCATCATTCAACATCTGAATGATGGCAGGAAGAACTGCAAAGAGTTTGAAGATTTTCTGAAGGAAAGGTAAGGATCTGCCTCTGAAAATGGGTCGGGCTGAACCTGGGAAGTAAGGTCGTGGCACTACTTCTACTCCTTGTATTCCCAGTTTGGTTTGTCTCATTTAACTGTACTTTATGTTAAAACACCTTTGATTTTTGACCTTGTCTTCCTACACTGTCCTTTCCCTGCATGGCTTCTGCTGTGGTATGAAGTCCATGCTCAGGAATCCTCAGCTGCGAGGAAGTGATGGTGCCCAGGGCTTGATGCTCTCTTAAAAAGAAAGAGGAATCAGAAGCATTTTAACAATTCAGTCTTACATGTTGTGTTTGCAGCTGTTGGTGGCCTGCCCAGGCCATATTCTCTGCTGTGAAGTTCACCTTGCAGTTGGGCTTGCAAGATCAGGTGAAGACCTTGGCATAGGCAAGGCATGGCTTTGTCCTGAATTTGTTTTTCTACATTATGGACAGCCCACAGATTTTATGTTAAAAAGAAGTAATAGCATTAGACAGTGTTTTTAGTAATCAGAGGATATGACCTAAGTCGAGATCCTGTGGGTATGAAGGCACAACTGAGATGGTCTGGCCATGTATTCTGACTTTGTGGTTCCCCTGGTTAGCCATGGCTAAATATGAAAAGCGTTGTAGAACAACTCGGAATTAATGTAATTTTGGTATTGAGAACTGGAGAAAACAAACCTCTGATTACAAGACTGGGCACAAAACATCCTGGAACAGATGGAATGCTGAAGAAAAGGAGGGGAATATGCAATTGAAAGTGTCAAATGCACCTCCATCTGTCTAGGCTGTAATCTCATATTTCAGGAAAATCCAGGCTTTCCAAATTTCAGGCAGCAGCCTGAGGAACCATCCACTGAACTCTGAGAACCATGTTCCACTCATCCATGACAATGGAGAGCAAAAAGCCTCCTCCACACCCTGTGCCCTGTTCCTCCTTGCTGTTGAAGATGGTATAGGTTCCCACTCATATGTCTAGCCAGGAGGAGGTTAGAGGCTGGACCTGGACTTGCTACTGGCACCTCTCTCTGAACATTGCCCAGTTCTCCACGTTACATGGTCCCAGCCACGGAGAGCACGCCTGTTGCATTTGATGCTCAAAACCAAGTTCATGGGAGTATTGTAAGATACAGGAGGAAAAAAATCAATTTATAGTACTATTTTTCCCCATGTCACTGCAAGCTTTCAGAGTTTTTAAAGAGTAAAGTTAGGTGAACCCCACTGCTATACGCTAGAAAGCAACAACACAGGCATGTGCATTAGAAATACAGAGATTTTAGGAATCTATTTATTTTATCCGGTAACCTTATAATGCAAGCCTCTAGCAGTACTTGTTTCTCTCCGCTGACTGCATACTGCTGGGGCAGCTTGCCCAGATGGAGAGATCTACATTTGACCAAGCAAGTCCAGCCCTGGTTGTCCAGATTTCAAAACAGCTGCAGAAAGCTGGTTGTTCATAGACTGCAACACATCAGCTTTCTTTTCACCTTGCCTCTTTCTTCCAAGAGGGCAGTACAATACAGTCTCTCAAAAGTGTTATCATAGAATCATAGAATTATAGTAATAGAATCATAGAAGAATTTCAGTTGGAAGAGACCTCCAAGATCATTGAGTCCGACCTTTTCCGAGCCCTGTGAACACCACTAACCCATGTCCTTCAACACAACATCCACCCGTCCCTTAAACACCTCCAGGGATGGCGACTCAACCACCTCCCTGGGGAGCCTGTTCCAATGCCTGACAACCCTTTCCATAAAGAAATTCTTCCTAATATTCCACCTGAACCTCCCCTGGCGCAACTTAAGGCCATTTTCCCTTGTCCTATAACTCGCCACTAAGGAGAATAATATGTTACCTCACAAGATGTGGCTTCTTCTTCAAGTTTTCTCTCTGAGGACCAGAGGTGCTTAGGACAGAAAATCTACTGACTCACTTTAAAAAGTCCTGAAGAGCTGAAATGACTGAGCTGAGCCTTGGGTTGCATGTACGGTGGCTGAGTGGTCTTTGAGGTGCCCACTCCCTCTTACCACATTTGGTTAAATGAGCCAAATCAGGCTCCAAAGTACTTTGTATGGACGAACTGACGGATGCTGATGGCCAAGATGCAGAAAGCGTGTGATTGCACAAGCCTTGTTCCCATAGGAAACTGAGCTAAAAACTCCTCAGGTGACCTGGCTGTGTCTAGCAACCAGCTGCAACGGCTGCTTAGTCCTCCATCTCCTGCAGAGGTGGTCCTTGTACCCATCAGCCATGGGGACATGGGGACCACAGATATAGCCAAAAAAAGAGTTTTCACTAGGAAGGCTGTTGGGTAACTGCAAACAACAGTCTTCCTCCAGCCAACTCATCCACAGTTGGTTTGCAGGAGGTGAGAAGACAGGGAGGGTGTTAACAGTGAGTCTTGATCTCTGCTGAAAAAAAGTAAGAGCTTCTGAAATGAGAACTTCCTCTCGTTTCTCTGCTTTCTCCACAGGGCAATTATAGAAGAAAAATACGGCAAAGAGCTCATTAACTTGTCAAAGAGGAAGCCCTGTGGGCAGACGGAGCTGAAGTAAGTTCACAGTCCTGTGTCCATTTTGCTTTTATGGGTGTCCTTACCATGAGCAACGAAGGAGGAGGAGAAGGAAGGAGGCTGTGAGAGACAAAACAGTGCTAGGGATGCTGTCAGAAGACGATCTGGAATCGGTCTTGTCAGTTAATGGTGCATGGTTGGGTTGGCCTTTGCCAATAAACAAGTTGGACTCCACGAGGTTCCCACTAGCCGTAGACTAACCAAAGCATCGTAGATGCTCAGGTAAGATGTGGACTCCGGTTCATTATGAGACCTCGGGTTTGCTTCTGACCATTTTTGCGGCCAGAGGGAGGTACAGATACTTCCTTGACTCAAACGAAGCAAACCTCCAAAGCCCAGTGTGCTACCACCCCACAGGGGTGCTGCGCTTGGCTCTCTGAGTGGCTCTCCATTTCCTCAGTGACCTTTGGCACCTTCTTCTTTTTTTCTACACTTTATACATGTCTGGTATGATGTTCTCTAAACATTTATTTACAGTTTTATATTGAGGTTTCACATAAAATATTTCTGAAATCCGTATTGTACAACATAAAACGTTCTCTGCATGTCCAACCACTGAGCAATTCATCATGCAGAAGGTGTTCATATGTCTAAAATGCTACTTTTAGCAGGTTGCCTGAAACATTTGTAATGAAACTCAGAGTTTTTAATGGCATCCAGTGTTCAGAAAGATGTAAAGTAGGTCACAAACCAAGTGAGCTGTGTTAAACTCACTGAGAGGGAAAAAGCCATAGGTATAAAGTGGATAAATAAACCTGCGTTGAGCTGCTTTGGCTGGCGTCAAGTGAGAGACTTGCAATCTCATTTGGGAGAGATGCTTTGCTGGTGCCTCCACCTGGCTGTGCTTTCCCATTCTTTTTAATGCTCCGCTTGTGTTTTTCAGCACGCTGAAGAGATCCCTGGACGTCTTCAAGCAGCGTAAGTAATTCTTCATGTTTGACACTTTCTAGGCCAAAGCCTGCAGGCAACTGTTTGAGAAATAAATAGCAGAGAAACCTCCAAACCAGTGCGATGCTGGAGTCGGGCATAGGCTGTCCTCCTGACCAGGCTCGTCCCAGTACACAGGGTTTGTGATGAAGTGCTCCAGGGCATGAGTGGGAGAGGAGACGCATGGGGTGTCCCTTTGGGGATCTCCTGGGCTTTCAGGGCTGCTGCAGCTCAGGGGTCAGGCTTGTGTGGGACAGCAGAAGTTGGCATGGGAAGCTCAGCTGGAGTTTGCTGGATTGGCTCACCTTGCCCTCTTCTTGCATACATGCAGTAATTCACACATCAAATCCTGTGTTCAGTTTTGGGCCTCTCACGACAAGAAAGACATTGAGGTGCTGGAGTGGGTCCAGAGAAGGGCAATGAAGCTGGGGAAGGGTCTGGAGAACAAGCGTGATGAGGAGCGGCTGAAGGAACTGGGGTTGTTCAGGCTGGAGAAGAGGAGGCTGAGGGGAGACCTTCTCGCTCTACAACTACCTGAAAGGAGGGTGTAGTGACGTGGGGGTCAGTCTCTTTCTCCAAGTAACAACTTGAGGAAATGGCCTCAAGTTGCACGAGGGGAGGTTTAGATGGAATATCAGGAAACCATTTCTTCACCAAAAGGGTGGTAAAGCACTAGAACAGGCTGCCCAGGGCAGTGGTGGACTCCTCATCCCTGGAGTTATTTAAAAGACATGTAGATGTGGTGGCCAGGGGCATGGCTTAGAGGTGGACTTGCCAGTGTTGTGTTAACAGTTGGACTCAATGAATTTAGAAGGTCTTTTCTAGCCTAAATTATTACATGATTCTAACCAGAGCATCTGGAAGATGATGCTTTGGCCGCTTTTACGTTGTCCATTAGTTGATACGTGTTGCAGCCTGCCACCCTACAGGCAGCCAGCATCTCTGCCCCACGGGCCACCACTCTGCTATCTCCCACCGAGTCCATCCTCTGCCTCGTCCCTTGGTGGGTTTGAAACACCTCTGAGGCTTGAATAGTGAGCTATTCAGCTTAACTCCCTTAAGGAGCTTGCTGGGGTGGTGTTTCATGGTATGGCCACACACCTTCAGCAAGAGGAGAGATTTTTTTTAGCATTAGTTTTCCTGTGTCCCAAGTTGGTTGCTAGCCTTGGGCAACGTTTCCTCCTGACAGCTCCTTCAGAATGGGATGTGTTGAAAAGTGCGTAAATGCATCTGGATGAGAGGGAGATGTGACTGTGCTTGTTTGAATAACTTCTCTTGATACGAGTTTTCTTAAACTGAGGGGCAGGCCCCAACCGGATCGATACTGAATGGTTCTTTACATAGGCAGGCGCTGCTTGGAGGCTGCTTCAAAAGTGCTGCTGCTCTTACCTGTTTCTGCGCAGGGATATATGATCAGTTTGATGTCAGCTACAACTTGAGCAACAGAGTCTTTTCAGGAATATATATATATATATAGAGTTTTGTTTTGTTTTGCTTTTATTTACAGAGATAGACAATGTGGGACAAGGTCACATCCAGCTGGCACAAACTCTTCGGGAGGAAGCAAAGAAAATGGAGGACTTCAGGGAAAAGCAAAAGCTGCATCGGAAAAAGGTCAGGTGCTCTGGGCCTGTGCACCTCCGCTGCAGGGTGGTGATCCTGCCCTGGTGATGGGCTGCTCCTGCCCTGCCGCAGCCGCCTCCGTGCCCCTGTTTCTGGGAAGCCCTGAGCCCCTTCCTACGTGTTGCAACCGTGTTGTTGAACTGTGCAACAGCCTGTGACTTCCTTCTCTGTGCAGCATCTTCTCCCTTTCCTGCCTTTTGGGGTCAGCAATAGCAGGGGCTTAGCTCCAAGGACATCAGCCTCAACCAGGAATGCTTTTGCAGCATACATATCCTGCTGTATGATCTCCATACGGTCTGCTAAAATTGACAAGCTTTTTAACTTCTTCTCTTGGGATTCCTTTGTCATGAAAATGAGGGAAAACTGCTAGAACCAGGGGCTAGCAGTGAGTGTGAGTGGGCTTCCTGATTTTGCCAGATCCCATGGAGATGGTACAGCTCTATGTACTGCTAGCATTTCACCTGTAGAGCTCCTCTGCATACATGAGTGGAGGCTTAGATGGAAGCATAAAAAGTGGGTTTTGTGAAGATACTTGGGATGAAGCTCCTTAAATCCATTTTGATCCGTCCCTCTTCCTTTCCTAAGCCAGGTAGTCCATTTTGGAGCCTCAATGGTCAGTGATGTGCTCACTCTGGGAGTCTTATCTTCACAGGTAGAGCTGATAATGGAAGCAATTCACAAAAACCGGAATTTGCAGTACAAGAAGACCATGGAGGTAACACAAATGTGTTGCTGTTTCTTGCCGTACGGGTTAATGCTGCTCACATGCTCAGGCACAGTGCTGAGGCAGACTTAAACATGAAGGTCTTCCTCCTCTGCTGCAAGCCCCTGCATTGTGTCTGTATCAGTGGTGTGCAGGGCATGCTTAGCTGAAGGTACAAGTGGTTTAGATGTCATAGACTCGATTGCCATGAGCTTTCCATCCCAGAGGAAGAGCAGCTTGTCTTGTGAGGTCACTTTTGCCCATGCAGTGAGGTATCTGGGACCTCGTGTGCTGTCCCCTGCGCAGGCTGTGCTTTACTCCAAAGACTCCTGCATGACCTGTAGTTGCATCTTGTTTCTTGTTGACATGATCCTGCCCTGTTTGCTGTCTCTCCAAGTCCAAGCGTCTCTACGAGCAGCGCTGCAGAGATAAGGACGAGGCGGAGCAGGCTGTGCACCGCAATGCAAACCTGGTAACGCAGAAGCAGCAGGAGAAGGTACGGAGAAGGGGATGGCCATGGGGAAGGGAGGCAAAGGGGTGTCTTGCAGCTCTCCTTCCTCACAGCTCTTCTCGCAGCTCTGGGTTCTGGTGATGTGCCCCAGCTGGGCTGCAGTGCCATCAGTGATGTGCCAGGGATCTCTTCTACCTTTCTTCTCTCTCTCATTTTTTGGTAGTTGTTCCTGAAGCTGGCTCAGACAAAATCAGCTCTGGAGGATTCTGGTGAGTGTGGAAATCCAGTGTTTGGAGGAGTAGGGGTTGTGAAGCCATGGCGTGGCTCTCAGGCATAGCTCCCCTGAAACGCGTGCCCGAGATGCTGGAGGGAGGCACCTCCTCTGGGGAAGCCTGCATGGCCCCACCAAGGCTACTCCTACTATTTCCCTGTAGCATGACCCTCCAGTTTCCCATCTTCCACTCTGCAGTGCCCACCCATAGCCAAGCTCAGGCATTACTGCTGCTTTCTCCCGGACACCTGTTTCAGACTTCACACATTACCTTCTAAAGATGCTTTTTTTGTTGTTTTTTTTAAAAAAAAAAGTAATCAGATGACAGCGTGATTTCCTTTGCAGACAGGAGTTACCAGCAGAGCATTACCACATTGGAGAAGATCCGGGAAGAATGGCAGAAAGAGCACATCAAGGCCTGTGAGGTAAATGCCCCAAAATGCCTTGACGTGGTAGTGCAGTCCCCTGGATGTCCATCCCCTTGCTGCGGGTGTCAGGGACAGTGTGGATTTGTCTTCTTCGTATTCCTCTGCCTCTCACACTTGGCTTCTGGATTTAACATCTCATTACTTCGAGGCTTCCACTCCCTTTTTTTTACCTTCCACCAGCTTTTAAAATTGACAGAGTCAATGCACTAAGCAGTGACATTTTTTCCCATTACCTGCCTGCATGTTCAGCTTGGCCAGCATCTTGAACAGTCAGGTCACAGCCAGCTCTGCACACCTAGCGGCTCGAGACTAATATGTGCCAAAGCTGCAACACTACCCAGCAGACTCCAAAACTCCAGAAGGCTTTAAATGATTTTGCAGTGGAGGCTGGTGACAGGCTGGGTGAAGCCACCCCCATGCACCAGGAGCCCTTTGCCTTTGTATCTCGCAGACCAGGTGGCAGCTTAGGAAGCCCTCTGAGCAGTTGTACCCGCATAAAGCAGGCTGTCTCACAGTGAAGTGGTCTAGCAAGGATTTCTAGTGCATGTTGGGGAAGGTCAGAGCTGGTGACTCTGCTGCTGATCTGTGCCTGTGATCCATGACTGAAGGATGGGCAGGGACTGCAGAGATCCAGGTTTTATCCCGGGTCTACTGCAGCAGCCCGTCCACAGCCACACCAATCCCTTCCCCAGCTACTTCTCCTTGGGTCTCTATTTTACTTTTTTCCTTCTGAAACTGAACTTGCTGTCTGTTTTGTGTGGTGTGTGCTGGTGTCTCAGTGCCGGTGTGCTTTTGGTGTCTGAGATCTTCAAAAACTTTTCTGATGGCGGGGTGTAGGAAGCAATAGTTTCAGTTCCACAGACAGATTACATAGAGGTTTTCCTCTCGGTGTGTTGCAAGAGCCATAACTGATAACAAGGGCATAAGTACGCTCAGAAGGAAAGGTTATCTTTCATGGAAATGCAAAAAGGCACGTGAAACTGAAGTATACCGGCCATGAGATTTCAAAAGACTTGATTTAAAACCTGCTTGGAAAAGGGCTGGACAAGGAAGAGGGAGAAGACCAACCAGTCACTGCACCTCTGTTTTCATTTATCCCCAGTGTTTTTTTATTGCTCCATACTTGTGGGAGGGAAGTGAGCTGGGACTGCAGGACCATGGAGTCCCTGAGGAACACGCACTGACTTTAGAGGCTGGCTTGGTCTCCCCAGAGGTAGTGGTATGCTTGGTGACCCCTTCCACATTGGTCCTGCAGACATTTCCAAGCTTAACACTCGTCTTTGAAATACCTGGTTGTGTAGAGGGATGATTTCTCTTCTGGACAAGCTGGAGGACTCGTGGTTTCCATGCTTCCTACAGGAGACCACCACCACTTGCTCCTCGCTGAGGGCAGTCATCTTGGTAGTGGCAGTTGGGGATGAGAAGCAATCAGGATAAAAGGTATTTGCTCTTGATGTTAAGATGTTAGGGCTGTTTTGTCTGTGTTGTTTCAGTTCTTTGAGGCTCAGGAGTGTGAGAGGATCAACTACTTCCGCAACGCTCTCTGGCTTCACGTTAACCAGCTCTCCCAGGACTGCGTCCAGAATGATGAGGTATGTCAAATGAAGGTCTCTGCATACTATCATTTTTCTGTTTGAAAAGAAAAGCTCAGTTTGCTTTCCCATGCACTGAACTGTGTTTTGCCTGAGGTGGGTTGTGGCCTTTGATCGGTCATCAGGCACCAGCATGAGTGTACAAGCAGAAGGTTTTGGCCAGAGTTTTTGCAGATGAGCTTTCATCTAGGATTCCCATTTTTTCTGTGGGTGGTGAGTCACTGGGACAGGTGACTCAGAGAAGTATAGATGCCCCATCCCTGGAAACATTCAAGCTCAGGTTGGATGGGCTCTGAGCAACCTGATCACATTGAAGATGTCCCGGCTCACTGCAGGGGGATTGGAGTAGACAACCTTTAAAGGCCCCTTCCAACCCCAAGCATTCTATGGTTCTGTGAGTCCCTCAACACTGAAGCTTGAGCCCTGGGCTTTTGCCCCCATGTGTGATAAACAACTGGAAAAAACCTCTCTTTTTTTTCTGATCTATAGAAATGCTTTTTATTTCCCTTTTGCAGAAATACGAGGAAATCCGCAAGAGTTTAGAAAATTGCAGCATTGAGAAGGATGTTGATTTTTTTGTAAATTTACGCAAAACTGGAAGTTTGGCTCCGGGTAAGAGCTCAGTATGAACTCACGAAGAAGTGCTGACTTCCTTGTATGCCTCAGGGAGCTGCTGCTCTGATCACCATCAGTTCGGATGCAAAAAACATTGATTTTGCAACATTCACTGGCATGTGGCACTAGTCTCTGCCACTTGTCATCAGCCCCTGAAGATAATTTCCCTTTTCTGTAACTTTCATTTTCCTGATCAGGCATTTTCCCAGAGAAGGGAAAGGCTTAGCAGCTGAATGTTTATGGCTATAAAAGGTCTGTACTCACTACTGTTAACTTTTCCTAGCTCCTGTTGTTTATGAAAACTACTATAATGCACAGAGAAATGCAACTCCTGTGAGAAGTCCGGTTCCTGTACCTATATCAAGGTAAGGGACATAACATGTACAATTGCAACTGCTACTGCAAATGATGCTCTCTCCCTTGCCAAAAAAAAAAAATATTTTGTTGCTTTCAGTCTATTGGAGGCTTGACTTGGGAGTATTAAAGGAGAGGACTTCCCATGCTATGTAGTCCATCACTGCGCATTATGCCAATGTGCTGCCTATCCTAAGTTGTTCAGGGACCCCGTAAAGCCCAGTAAGAGGTTCTTTACTCCCCTTTTGGGCATCATTTCACCTTTCTCATGGTTGGGAATGTTATTCTGAAAGTGCTTGTGGTGAGGGTCTGCTTCTTTTTTCTCTTGTACCACGCCTGTTCCAGAAGTCCTTTGCATTGAGGTGAGGTTCTGTGGTGCCTGGACAGCAGGAAAGCAATGCTACGTGGAGAATACTGAATTTCACACCTTGCTCTCTCAAGGAACTATCTGAGCAGCCTTTGCTACCAGAATGAAACCTTCTGGGCTTGCCTGCATGGTTCCCCATGTGGTCCATCTGTCTGAGGAGAGATGGATCAGATAAAAGCATGCGTGGGCAGAGAAAGGAACAGCAGAGCCAAATTCACTCCCCCGGGGACAGAAGCTGGGAGGGGAGGACAGGGTGAAGGATGCTTCTGTCGGGGGTGGAAAATGAGAACTCAGGGCTAAAGACTATTGCTGAAGATGAGTGTGTCACTTTGGTTGTCACATTGGGAAGGAAGTCATGTCAAGTTATGGCTTCCTGATGTCTCACTCCGGACAAAGGCATGTAAAAAGGCTCACTTGTAGTTGTTTCCCCAAGTCAGTGCTTTTTTGTTACTTTTTCCTCTCTCCCACTCTGTCAGCTTCAATTACCATGTTTGCCAAGCAGGCTGGCAATGGTAAGCCCACCATGACAGGCCTTGGTACCAGGTCTCCATAAAGGCCAGGCTGGCCAAACTTCTTTCCATCTCACCAGCTCCTGGAGGGACACAGAGCCAGGGCAATGTGGGTCCCATAGCCATGCAGATCTTCAGCTCTGTGTTTCCTTCTGTGCAGGAGGGGACCTCTACCCACTCCAACCAGTGCTCCAGGTGAGTTACTTGCTTTGTGGTGTTTCTGGCCCCTCAGAGGAACTTTTGCTCTTCCCTGTCAGATCATGAGATTTAGCTTCTTAAAAGGGATTGCGTTAGGTGAAGCTCCTGGTCTAAGTCCAGTCTCCGCTGAACAATGCTGGTAAGTTGGGCACTGACTTTGGAGGCAAGGTTTCACCCAGGAGAAGTTGATCAAGAGCCTTGTGTCTAGCCTTAAGGATGTCTAAGCTTGGGATCCCACCAGTCTCTGCAGTTTGGGCCTTCTCTGCTTCCACAGCACAAGCTATGTCATTCCCAGTCCCACTTCAAGGATGCCACACTGCAGTGGGACTTGGTAAAACGAGGTCCTGCTGTGGCTATCTGGCAAATCACGTCATCTCTCTGAGATGCCTCCCATCCCGTTAACATGGGTGACCCATGGTGTTGTTTCTGTCCTGTATTAAGTGTCATAATGAGCACTTCCCGTGACGAAACCTAATTTTTTGTTCTGTTTTTCAGGTGAGCCCAACTATGCCACAATTGATGGCTACAGCTTGATACATCACTAACAGCCACAGTAAGTACTCACACTTGATGAAGAAAGGATTTAATAAGAGGTGTAGGTACAGAGAGGAGGGACAGTGGAGAAAAAAAAGCCTTCGGTTAAGCGATGATATTTTGAGGTGACCAGCTGGGAGTGATGATCCTGTCAGCTCTCCCATTGCTTGCCTGAGCTGGAGCTGTGGTTTAGACGCTGTTGATCCTGTTCTGTAGGTTCTCCAGGAAGAAGACACTGTTGGTCTGGCCAGCATGGCAGAGGTGGCGTTTCCAGTTATTCCCCGCCACACAGAGCTGAAGCGCTTCTCCATTTTAAAAAAGTATTTGAGGACTCTGTTAATTATTTGTACATTCAGAAAGTGTCTACTAAAAATCTGTGCCTTTGATCAGCAAACTCCTTGGATGTATATCCCATCTTCTCACTCAGGGGAAGAAAAGGAATGTAAGCGATGGACCCAGACACTGGGGCCATCTGTGTCAGAAGAAGTTTTTGATTTGAAGTTCTAAAGTGCAGCCACCGGGGAGAGGCTGGAGCCTCCCAGTCTCCTGAGAGGTCACAAGTGTTGAGGGGAGTGCTTTTTGAAGGTTTGGGCATGCTGGCTTGTGTATCCCACCCAGATCTCAGGTTATCTTTTTTGCCTGTTTCTGAAGTCTTTCATGAATGGTGATTAAACTTGTAATTTAGGTTTAATTTCAGTCATGTCTCTCAGCGAACTTCCTTACCATGAGCCTAGCTTAGGCGTAAATGTGCTTCAGTCTTAAGCACCGATACTGGAAGCTGATTTACATCTCGCCTGGTGTGGCAATCCACAGCACGGCTAGGAGTGAGAGGCTGTGCCACAACAAACATGCTGGGAATTCCCACACCCTACAGCGTTGTTGGGGAGCTGAAGGAAAAGATCAGTTCTTCCAATTCCCTCTCCAATGAGAGGCTTGTAGTTTTTTAGGTTTGTGGTATAGCCTGTCCCTGGTAGGCTTCAGAGACCCCTACCTGACTAAATTCTGGGAATCCCTAACCTTTGGATTTGTTCTGACTATGCACCACTGGAAAAAAAACTTAGCTACTAGCGTTGGGCTGGAACCATGAAACTCGTTCTCTGACCAGGTCTCCTCAAAGTTTGTGTCCTTTTGGTTACCTTATATACAGTTATGGCTTTGATTCAGAAGCTGACACGCCTCAGGGCTGCTGGTCCCTCTGAAGCCCCTGTGTGCAGTGTTGCTTAACAGCTCCTCAGGGCCTTATGATACTGGGCACAGGACATGGGGACAAGCACACCACGTAGCTTTCTTAACCTGGTACCAGCTGGAGCAACAGGAGCTGCTACTTGGATGATGTTCTTCAAGCTGAATCTGCATGATGTCTGTTTGCCTAAGCCCACATTTCCTTGTGTGGAGAAGATCATGGTGAGCTTTAACATCTCTCCTGATGCGTTGTAATGAACTGTGCAAAGTGCACGTCAGTCGTCCTGTTTTATTTCTGAAAGATTGAGTGTATTCTTCTGAATGTAGCCTGCTGTAGTCTTAGTTCTTTAAATACGTATATTAAAAATAAGTTTTGAGACTCGTGTGCTGGGTATGTTTGTAGTTTTTTGTTTTTTTTTTAAGGTAGTCACGTTCACTTTCTCTTGGGGCTGGGGCTGGTACAGCTTCAAAGCACTGGAGGATGTTTGAGTGGTATGAGTTGCCCCTCCTGGGAGAACATATCCTTGCTCAGTCTTTATTTCAGGACTTTCTCAGTACCAAAGCAGTTGTGGGAGAGAACACTCTGAGGAAGACTGGCACAAGAACAATTACCTGTGATTAGCCATAAACTGCAGACCACACAGGGCTATCTGCCCCATAAGAGTATCTACTCTACAAAATATTAGATGGTCTATTGGAATTTTTCAGCTGACTCAGTACAAGAGATGGCAGTAGGCTTTTCTGCATGTGGAGGTCCCCCATGAACCTGAAACTTGGCTTGCATGTTCACTAGGTGCACAGGAGTAATCTCAGAATAGAATTGTTGGTTCTGAGTACACCAGCTGCTCAAATAGACGTAAAGCCAAGCAAACGCTGGCTTAGAAGAGGGGCATCTAGACATGGAGTTGCTGGGAAGCAAGTCTGTGTGCCTGTAAGTACTGAAATGGCTTTTTGTCTTCAGCATCTTTCCTTGCCTGGTTGTCTTCCAAGCGGTGCAGAAGACTTCAGCCTCCTCTCAGGCTCCTGTGGAGGAGCCTAGCCTCCTCCTGGGTCCCTACAGTGAGGCTCAGATTCCTCACAGATGTCTATAGAGGGGTCTAGCATCTTCCCAGACTCCTATAGAAGCGCCTCCTGACAGACCCTGATAACTGGCTGTGCAGCTCTTGCCTTCCTTCCCCAGGAGGGGCAGAAAGAGGCAAGAAATGCCTTAAGACAACTGCTTTAACAACACATGCGGCAAAGCTGACTCAAGACATGAGCTTCAATGGTAGGGGAATCATAGAGCCACACAGTGCTTTGGGTTGGAAGGGACCTTTAGAGCTCATCTAGTTCAACCGCCCTGCAATGAGCAGGGACATCCTTAGCTTGATCAGGTTATCGAAGCCCTGCCCAGATCTGTTCATAAAGGAAGTTCACAGGAGAACTTCTTGCTGCATTTCCAGATAGGGGCAGGTGGCGTAAGGGCCAGTGCCCGGCAGGAGCTGCCTGCAGGCCGCGTCACCACGAGCTGTTGAGCCCCAAGTGAAAGGCCCTACGGAGCGGACCTTGCCTTGCCCGTTCCAGATCATTACCTCCTCGACTGCAGTGTTTTCTGCAAGGTGGGCCTGAGCTCCGCCGGGCCATGTTATGTTTGGGGACTGGCAGAGGTCACTTCTGCTCCCCGTGGGGACTGGGTTCAGCCCCAGACATGGCTCCCGGGGCGGGTGCCAGCGCAGGGATCAGCAGGGGCAGCGCTCCCGTGCCCCTGGGCTGAGCCGGCTGCAGCCGGAGGAGCCTCAGGCAACACAGGACACCTGCTCCATGGCACCTGCAGGTCCTGCTGCGGTGCAGGCAGAAGAGGAGACCTCACACTCACCATCCTCAGTAGCAGGGGCTCAGCTTCTCACCCCACACTCCCTCCAGCCGCAGTCTGGCCTCCCCACTGTTATAAATGCTCAGAGTCCAATAGGTT